TGAAAAAGTTTGACTACTAAAATTAGTAATTTGATTAGTGAACAATTTCTCACGTTTAAAACAGAACTTCGTAATATGATGACTGGGTTAGAAATGATGACTAAATCGACTCAATATAAAAACAGCAGCGAGGAGACTAGTACAACTGCATCAGCAACCCGCAGTCCATCCGCTAGCCCCCACCAATACCCCGATTGGCCAACAAAATAAAAAGAAGTGGAGTAATGCCAAGAAAGATTTTACTCTGCTGTTGTGTTTTTTTCGGGCGCGGGGGGGGTTTTCCACCACCGGGTCCTCGGGGAAAAAACTTAGGGGTGGGCGGGGGAAGGGGGGGAGAAAAAAACAAAAAGGTTGAGAGCTTCGTTACCTGGAGTGTCGAGGTACTGCGGCGCCGGATGTTACATCTCTGCGCGCAGCAGAGAGGTGGAGGTACGTGCACTTGTATTATGTCCAGGAGGGTACAACCGTCAAACAGCTGCGGGCTCATCTTATCTCTATATGTGGAAGTGACGTTTGCACAGTGGAAGCATTGAAATCACGTGGACTATACTCGTCATTTAAGCTGGGAGTTCCGGCCAGGCAAGCTGAAAGTGTCATGTCACCGACGCATTGGGCAGACGACATTTGTGTTAAAACTTGGCGCCAGAACTTTCGTGCCAAAGAACACATTACGCAGCAATAGGCGCCAACGGTTTACGAAAACAACTCTGTGCTATCAAATGTTTTGCGTGGTTTGCGCTCAAAAATAAGGACTTTTTATAGCAATGTGACTCAAGCTTATTTTGACATTATTGCCTTGACTGAGACGTTTTTGACTAACTCTGTGTCTGATGGTGAACTTTTTCCCTCTATGTTGTGATTCGTAGAGATAGGTTAGGCGACGTTGGTTGGGGAGAAGTATTGTTGGCTGTGCGTGATAGTCACGACGTACGTGTGATCTCGGATATTGACGTTATGACACCACATATAGAAGTAGTATTCGCACTTATAAGCTGCAAAAATGTAAAGTTTTTATGTTCTGTGGTATATCTACCAACAAATTATCGTGATGATCAGTATATTGATGTTCTTACTTGCATAGAGAATGCTTTGTGTGCTTATTCAAACATGAACGTATTAATATTAGGTCATTTTAATCTTAATTCTTGCAGCACTAATGTTAAAACGCAATTTAAAATGTTTTGTGACTTCTGTAACCTACAGCAACATAATAATTTATTAATACTCGCGGTGGGTTATTAGATCTCGTGTTGAGTGACTATGACCGTAACCAATTGGAGGTGTTGCCCGGATTGGATCCACTCGTACCAATAGATGAATATCACCCTTCGTTGGATGTCAAAATCAACCTCTCATACAGGAAGTTCTTGCCTCGGCTGTAGTTTTCGCCAGATAGTAGTTCGGATGGGATCGCTGATTGGAATTGGCGTAGGGCGGACTTTCAAGGTCTGTATGCAGTGTTATTGGAATTAGATTTGTCTGATTTAATGACTTTTACAGACGTAAATGCAGCCGTAGATTTTTTTAACAACAAATTGAAAGAAATTATTAATTTATATGTACCAAATAAAAAACTTTTTCTAAATCATCGTAAGTATATGTATCCCAAATGGTTCACGCCTGAGAAAAAATATTTCCATCTGAAGAGATTTAAGCAAGAAGGAAAATTATTTAACAAAGAACTGTTTAACTTTTATCGATGGAGGGTTAAAATTTTGATTGACAACGCATATCAGCAGCATCTTAAGTTGATACAGAAAAGCATAATTGACGATCCGGTATTATTTTGTGTTCAGTTTTATGGGTACTGTATTTAATTAATTAATTTACTTAAGTCCATTAAGGTGTACAATGAAGGTTGCAATAAATGAAGACACGTGTCGAGTAAACGGTGATATATTTGCGACTCCGTGTGGCGGACCCAGCCGCCACCCTATATCTATTAAACACATACACATGCATTACACATACATAGGTATAGCTGTTAAATAAAAATGGGCATGATGTAGGTCACCGGACACGCAATCTAAAGAGCTAGTATATTATAGATACCTATACTGTGTCCTTACATCATTCCCCTCCGTATATAAAGATAAAAACTTACACTAGATTAACATTCACACACCAAAATTGTGAAGCGTTCCACATTTTACATTGCAAAACAAATATATCTTATTACAAATGCTTAACAACGACTAATAATGACATGTCAATTAAAATGCTAAAACAACTAAAACGTTACTTTAATAATCATGTACTTTGATCCATTGCGAAATGCATGCTATGCAACTCGCAACTATGAAGCATAATAATAGGTGTATATTAAAATATAAGTGTTTGCTAAATATTATTACAGCTAATATAGTACATATAGTTTACTCTTTAGGGTTATACAGTAAAGCTTAAAATACAACATTGGAACTTTTCTAATTACCATATTTAATTACCTAGAATTTACATAAATCATAACAGCTAATAAAAGAAACAATTCACAGTTAGTAAGTAAATTAAACTGACAAGTTATTACATTTATTAATTATGTAGGTTAAAAATCGAACCTAAAACAATCGTAATCATAACCACTAATCCTAAGTAACGATGATACGTTCTACTTAGAACAGAATTGATTATAATGCAAAACGTACTGGCGTCTTGATAACGCGGCCACTTCGCTTTGTTTTTGGTATTAAAACTTTGCTAGAAGCGTCTTCGTTATTTGTGCTAACAAAACTATTGTTACAACTATTATCATTAAAATTAATGTTACTGCTTAAATCGTTCTCGTTCAGAATGTACGCGGGTCGGTTAACTATCCATAGAAATAGTACTTTCTTTTTCTCCTATTTTTATGACAAAAGTTTTCCCGCTCCTGCTTATGACGCTATAGGGGTCATCATAAGGGGGTTGAAGAGATTTTCGCATCAAATCATTCCGAACAAAGACATATTTACAATTATCTAATCTATTAGGAACGGCACGGTGGCACGGTGATCTCGGATTCAATTTACGTATATTATCCCGTAACTTTTGTAAATATTCCGAATCCGTGCGCTCACACCACTGTCGCTTCTAGTGGCGGCGCGTAGACCTAACAGCGCTACTGGTAATTCATCTACCCATGAACTGTTGCATTTTAAGCGTGCCATTAAAGCCACTTTTAGTGCTCTATGCCAACGCTCAACCATGCCGTTACTCTGTGGATGATAAGGCGTGGTGCGCAATTTGTGAATCCCTAAGTATTTCATTAATTGGTGAAAGAGGTCACTCTCAAACTGTCTACCCTGGTCGCTGGTCAGCTTCGAAGGGCATCCGAAACGAGAGATCCAACCTTCAAACACTATTCTCGCTACAGTATCCGCTGTAATGTTCTGTACCGGAAAAGCTTCGGGCCATCCGGTACACCGGTCTATCATTGTTACACAATATCTATGACCGTCTGCCGAAATAGGTAATGGCTCTACTATATCTATGTGTAAATGTTGAAAACGATCGGGTCGATCAAACTGTCCTACACCCGATACAGTGTGCTTTGTAATTTTAACTTTTTGACAATGAAGACATGTCCGTGCCCACTTTGCTATATCGCGATCGATATTTGGCCAAAAGAACCTTTTCTTCATTAAGTTTTTGGTTGTTTTAATGCCAGGATGACTGAGGTAAATGAATAAAAAATCAAGACCTTTGAGGACTACTGAATCCATAAATCTCTGGAACGTTTGTTCCAATTTTAGTTATCGGTGATGTGTATTCTTTGTTATTTGTTAAAAAAGAATTATAACTGGATGAGGAACCTCATTTGCACTAATTTGTAGGTAAATAAACTCTTATTCATGCAAACTATTGAACAATACATTTAAAAAAAATTAAAAGTGTATGAAATTTAAATAGCTTTTACATTAGTTCCTTGATAAAAAGTTTTTGAATCAAGTGCTAAAAATGGTGATAGAGTGTATACATGTGTATTTATATGGTATGATCATAGAATACTATAATACATACATAATAGAACGGGAGAGTGGGTGGAGCCCGTGTAGCCACTAAAATGTCACTAACACGTCAATTCACACGTATAAACGTCAATACGAGATGTGTTTTGACATTACAATCGTTTCCAAAGAATCATGTCCAATTTTGACCTGAAAATTTTCGATAGCGTCTAGTGATGTAAAATATCTTATAAAATTGCTCTTTTTTTGCTTATTTCGAATCGCATAATTGAATTTTCTAATAAAGCCAGGAAAAAGAGTAATGTTAATATGTTTATCACTTTCAATAGACTTTTGGAGACGGAACGAGTTCTACAATGACTTAAAGGCCCAGAAGCCATGCCAAAACATATTTAAAAAAACGTGTTTGTCAATGACAGTCCGTCATTTGTTTGAAGTTTTGCAGTCGTTCGTTAGCTTTCCCTACGTTTTGTACTGTGCGATTTTGGATTTTCTGATACCCTTACAACTTGCATTTTCCACGGACTTCGATACCTTCTACTCACGATTACTTTGGCCTGTGTAATACGGATACCGATTTAGCTTTTTGATTGGGATCTAAGACGTTATCGTACTTGTTGGAAAGCGTTATGGAGCCTTCTACGAGAATGCTATGTATAAACTGTAACATATGTATTAATACGCTTCAGCGTTATCGGGCCCTTCAGCTTGATAGCAGAGTCATCTCGCTAATTAGCACTTGGATATCTCCAGTAATAGTAAGTAGTAATAACATACAACATATAACATACAACAATACAATAGTAGTAGTAAGATTTTACCCATGTTTAGCTAAAGTGTCCTTTAGGACAGTTGTCTAAAATAAAAAATAAAACATGTAAAAATACAAATTAAATGTGCCTATTTCAATTTATGCTTTATAATCTCATAATTGATTTATTTTTCAGATTACGGAAGAGGACTACATTTGTGAAGCGTGCTTTGATGTATCCATGCAGTCTATTAATGCTCAAATTCATGGAAACAATGAGTGTCATCCATCTGCTTGTTCATCTCGCCTTGGTCATACTCAAGTGTGCCCCGTTTGTGGTCGATCATTGCTCAATCGTCAAAGTGACCATATTCACAAAGAAAACCCATCAAGCCTCACACTAAGAATGATCAACTTAATTCGAGCTACTGTAGCACCTCGTCAGGTTTGTATTTAAATATGCAATCTCATTTTAAACTGCATGCAATTTTTTCATTAAACTTCACATTCTAATCTATGACATTACTAGGTATGTCACTGCATTTATTACAAATATGTTGTTTTTCTGTTGACAGATATCACAATAAGATCGTGTATGTCATGCCTGTTGGTTGAGGTTTAAAAGACAAGCTCTTTTAACTCAACAACAGGATGAAAGAAGAGGCTTAGAAGGTGATGAGACTCCTCACGGTCAAGAAGAAGTGGAACAGCCTGTTGATGCAGTTCATGTTCCAGAATTACAACCTCCCCCGTTTCTTGCAAGTACAGATGAAAGGGATTCGTCTGTAGAATCAGTTGCAGCTCCAGAGGTTCATTCGCTACAATCTCAAACCCAACAATCAAGTAACATTACATTACATAATTATAAACGTGCTCCCAATACAGCATCTCATTGTGCATTTTATGGGTGTGAAAATGAAAATCTGCATACTGTGTTAGATGCACTGCGGGCTACCATTTTGTGCAACTACAATTTTTATATTCCCAAACTGGCAAGAGTATGCACATACCATTTACATGGAAACAGTTGAAGTTCCCTTTATACCAGTGAAAACAGCATGAGCGATTTCACTGTTGAACAAGTTGAGCATGTTTTTTATTTTGTTCAAAAATACAAGCATTTTCTCGATTTTTCAAGCATAGAATCATTACAAGAAATTGACGACAATTTATTTGAATTTTGGATTGGCTTGTCAAAATTGAAATTCCTTAATTTGTTAGAAGACCTTCCCCGACTGTTGGAAAAACATAGGGGTGTATTAGGTCTAGCTGCTGTATTGATAAAGATGCGGACAGGTGATTCCGACTTAAGAATATCAACATTGCTAGAAGTTCCTCGTACTACACTAGAGAGGTTAATGCAAACAGCACGAGAGGTACTGCTACAGGATTTTGTTCCATGTAACCTTGGAATAAATCACTTGCCGAGAGAACAATTAATAGAACACAATCTAATCATTCCGAATGGAATTTACAATGAAAATAATAAACAATGTATTGTGATGTGTGATGGAACATACATTTTTTTAAATAAAAGTGGCAATTATATGTTTCAAAAAGACACATATTCTTTACACAAATATAGAAATCTGTTAAAGCCATTTTTAATAGTTGCCTGTGACGGTTACATTTTAGATTGTTTTGGCCCATACAAAGCTACCACATCTGATGCCGATATAATGTCTTCTTTGTTCAGCAACGAAAATTCCCCACTGAGACAATACTTTCAAGATAATGACATATTTATTTTAGACAGGGGATTCAGAGACAGCATCAGCTTATTGGAGCATTGTAATTATAAGGCATATATGCCAGAGTCACTTTTGGAAGGTGAACACCAGTTAACCACCACCCAAGCAAATAGAAGTAGATGTGTAACTATTTGCAGATGGGTGGTGGAGGTTGTAAATGGATATTTTAAAAGAGATTTTAGATTATTAAGGTTTGACAATTTTAATAAAACTGTACCAAATATGATGGCTTATTTCCAAATTGCTGCAAGTTTAATAAATAAGTTTGGTGTTCGTCTTCGCAATAGAGCTGATGCTGCTCAAATTCTTGGTATAATAAATGAAAGGATGCCCTTGGAAAATAACTTAATTAATATAGTTACAGAATATAATTTAAATCGCCGAGCATCCTTTTTTTCAAAGCATTACAGCTGATACTGCTAATATTGAGTTTCAATGTCTAGAATTCAGTGAATTAATATTATTCGCCTTGGGAACGTACCAAATTCGCCAAGCGCGTTCATATTATGGTGAACACGTACGTTTCCATGGCGGATACAGGATAGAAGTTTGTCAGGATACTAATAATATACCTGAGTTAGGCAGTGGGGAAAATTCACTTATAAAAGGAAAAATAAAGTCTAGACATATCTCAAGACGTCAGTACTATGTGTACATTTTGATTGCAAATGGTGTTGATGGACGAGAAGGCATTGTAGAGTATTGCTGTAACTGCATTGTAGGACGTCGCACTGTAGGTTGTTGTGCGCATATTATGACAATGGTGTGGTACTTGGGTTGGGCCAGGCATGAAACCAATATTGAGCCTCCAGCTGCATTTTTAGATGAAGTGGTCATACGAGAAGACAATGAATAAATAAAAATAAATCAAATCGTGTTTTTTATTTAATTTCCCTGTTCTCGCCAAAAACATGTAGAAAAGGTAGCTCTTTTTGTTATCTATTAATGTTGTGATGGCCCATAGGTTACAACTCGCCTCTTATGCACAGGCTGTGAGTTCAAATTCAGGCAAGTACCAATGTGTTTTTCAATGCGTAGGTACGTATTTTCTAAGTTTATCTTACAATGGGGAAGGAAAACATCGTGAGGCAACCTGAACTCAATAATCATATGGTAGAAGTATAATAATCAAAATAAAAGTCTGAAACTGCCAACTCATCTTGACTCTGCTTGGTGATTAATGCTGCTGCTTTCTCTGTATGAAAAGAGGTCTTTTCCCAGCAGTGGGGCCGTATTATTATGCTTATATTAGGTATTATTTACTCTCTTTCTCTGTTCATCAGACTTTTAGAGTTCGATGGCAGAAAGCGTCGCCTGTCAGGACGACTCCTTGAGTCAATCTGTTACGACGACAGATTTTGACCGATAATTAAATGAACTATACGTATATTGTTCTAATTTGCATAAAGTGTAGTCTAAAAATCAACATAGGCGAGATATTACGAAAACGTAACTGCTATTTGTGACCGCGCACAGATGATAATATTACATTGAAGAGGGATTTATTTCTGAGTGATTGTAACTCTCTCGGCGATTAAGAAACAATAACAGAGTACTTTTTGTATACCTGAAAGAAACAATTTGATTATAAACGTATAGTTTTTGAGGTTGCGACAGCTGTCAAATAAGGTTTGACAGCTGTCATAACCTGAAAAACTTATTTACTTAATAGCATTTTTCCCTGGCCTCTAAATGAAAAGGTAATAAGTTATTATGTTATTATAAACAATAATTGATTTTATGCAACAGCACTTGTAGGTAGACGCGCCCTGTAAAACAAATCAAGTGACAGGTCAATCAATGTATGGGAAGTGGGCATTCTTCTTTGCAAAGAAGAATGCCCACTTCCCATATAAAATCAATTATTATCAATTATAAATTTATATTAATTATAAATTTATATTATCAATTATAAATAATAAATCAATTATTAGGTAATAAGTTATTATGTTATTATAAACAATAATTGATTTTATATGGGAAGTGGGCATTCTTCTTTGCTGACTTCCCACATCCACTTGGTCGTGCCACAATAGCAGTAAACGGATGTATAAAGTGAAACATTACACACGTCTAAAGTTCTAAGGGGTGAAATAAAAAATGAAAGTGTTGGTGTAAACAATTAATATATATTGTGTACTATAACTAATGTTTTTAGGAAATCAAACAAAATTTATGATTAATTTAAAATTTTATTTTCAAGCAATAACCACTTGTAAAAAACCCACACTTCGTCACAAGAACAATGTAAAATTTTGTGATAATTTTTTGCAAATATATGATTATTACACACATAACGTTTGTTTAAATTTATGACATTTACCAAATCATTGTATTTTGGACATTTGTATTCTTCAATATTAAAAATTCTATCATTCGTCGTCAACATTTTTAAAAATAGTTTTTCTATTGCATCACCTTTGTATGCGATCACTTCGTCTTTGCACAAATTTCTAATATACCAATTTAATATAGGAATGATGTTCTCTTGTTTGTAGGCACATTTTAATTCTTTGGTCACATCAAAATATGGGATACCGTGCACGTGTGTTTCACAATAACGAACAGTTTTTTTTTGTCTTTTGGCGACAAATAATTGAAAGGATAACTTGGCCGAAACAAATAATGTTCGATAAACGCATCATTTTTATTAGATAGTTTACGTCTAGAATAGCCATTTATCTACATTGAAAATGTTTATGAGGATATGTAATGTAAAATCCGTCCATGTCGATGATGTATCTAATATTTTTTAGATTTTGTGTCATTTTGAACCAAAATGTTAAAAGTATTTACACGTGACTAAAAATATGTTTGTTCCAACAAACTTCACATAACAATGCTTCATTACTTCCCATCATCCCATTTCTTCCTTCTGCTCTTGTCTTCCTGTAGTTTAAGTAAACAGAATCACATTCACTAATGATCAACTAATGACTGTCATTGTTAAAAAAAAGTATTTTTCAACTACTCTAGTATTCGTCGATGCTGTACACACACAATATTTAAATATAATTTGTTAACACTAAATCATACACACGTAAGAAAATAACAGAAAGAAAAGTAAGTTTGTCAATAGAATAAACACTTACATCCATGGCCTTTGATGCGTTGAAGTAACACAAATGTAGTATTGATAGATCCACTGCGGTCAAACGACCATACACTAACTCCATGACTGCAGTTGCTTGGTCTTATATAGTACCAGTAAGTAATAATTCTAATCTAAAGAATTTCTGCAGTGGAATTGATAGTAACTTTATGCGTCAACAAGCTTATCTCACATTCTGTTGCTTATCTCAGCATTACTTCGTGTTGCGTCTTGTTCAGTGTATTGATGACTCAAATACGTTTTGTATAACACAAAATAATGCAATTTAATATTTAGAAATCACTATAATTGATCATTCCTATGTTAGTCATTGAGTAGATTGTACTGTAATAATCTACTAATAGCAGTTATATCACGGATACACTAGATGTACAACAACATCTGAAAAAGATTCACCGCAGTTTAGAAAATAATGTTTATGCTGCTAATAGACTGCCCATGTACACCGACGTACCAAAGTATATAATATGCAATTTGGATACAGATGATAAACCAGGGTCACATTGGGTAGCTTTATATATCGATACGAATGACGTCGGTCAATATTTTGATTCATACGGACGAGCACCTGTACGATATCATCTAGAGTTTTTAAAAAGGAATTGTAAAAGATGGAACTGGAATGTTGATAGGATTCAGAATGAGTGGACTTCAGGGATGTTCAATGCATAGTTTTACGAGTATATTTACAGGGAACACATTGTACAACGATATTTTAGTGGATAAGATGTTTAGCTCCTATTTTATAGATATTAAGTAATAAGATTTTGTATCAGTTTGTGACGAATATTGCTTAATGTATTTGCTATATAAGTTTCAGGGATGTTCAATGCATAGTTTTACGAGTATATTTACAGGGAACACACTGTACAACGATATTTTAGTGGATGAGATGTTTCGCTCCGATTTTATAGATAATAAGTAATAAGATTTTGTATGTCGTAAATAAAAATTGTAACAAAATTAGGTAATGTATTTTATTGATTATTCAGATTGCCGTTGCAGTTAGAACCAAAGGAGTATAATATAATAGCACTGATAATCCGACGCACGAATAGATAATGACGGTATTCAATGAACAATAGATAAGAACAATGGAGCGCTAATGACGGTGGAGGCCCTCACAGGATATCTATTAGATAAGAATTAATTGATCTGCACATCTCCGGAATCGTGCATCCTATGCAAAAATGGATCGCAGATTCGTGATCAGAGCATGCCAATACTTTTTTTAGGATCGTGAGTCGACGAACGTTGTACTTGTACCACTTCTGACTCAGTGAGCCAGAACTAGTACAACGTAACTACTACCTAGTCGGACTATTTGTCCCAGGTAAACGTACTCGTCAAAAACTTCGAGCTTAGTGCTCCCAACAACTACCAGAATAGGTGTGACATGGACATTAAACATGATCTTTGTTTTGTCCATGTTCATCTTAAAACCTATCCCTTCGAGGCACTATTGAGGTCATTGAGCATAGTGCTTAAGTCCTGCAGCGATTCTGCCATAAGGACTATATCGTCGGCAAATCGAAGGTGAGTGATGTACTAGCCATTGATGACAATACCGTATCTTTTCCAGTCCAGTAGCTTGAAAACGTCTTCCAATGCAACGGTGAAGAGTTTCGGGGAAATAACTTCACCAGTCTTACACCTCTCTGCAGTTAGATAGGTTTCGTACTCTGGTTCTGTACTCGGATAGCCATCGTAGCCTTAATGTACAAACACTTCAGCACTTCGATATACCGACAATCAACTTGGCACCGCTGAAGGGACTGTAGCACCACCCAAATTTCGACGGAATCAAAGGCTTTCTCATAGTCCACATACGCCAGGCAAAGTGGCAGATTGTACTCTTCGGACTTCTGTACAATTTGCCGAAGGGTATGTATGTGGTCTATGGTACTAAAGCCTTTTTACTTTAGCCTTTTTACTAAAGCCTCTAGAGTATAGAAAATTAGATACTAATTCTATAATGCCAAACTTCTTCATAGAAAAGTAGTCTCTAAATATAAGTTTTAATGGTTTAAAGTGCTGTGGGTGTGCGCGGTTGAAATAGACCGCTTGAATTTTGACGGAATAGCGCCGCGGTCGAATTCAACCGCTTAGGGATTGAAGGGTTAAACAACACACATACACAAATGAAACACATTTAAATCCAAATGTTTGGCGTTATCATTCCATTATTATATTCATCAAAATAAAGGGCTAGTAAATATATTTACCCGGCCACACATGTATTATTCCAACTATAATAGGGTTTTCCCCCGAAATCCTCACTCCAACGAGAGGAACGACGCTATACTTCGGAAAAGGAAGTACTATCCACTGACTTTTGTCTGACAGTTTAGTAAAGTAATAAAAGTATCGAGTAACTAAGAAAGTATCGATACTATGTAAAATACTCTAATACAAGTATCGAGTACAAAAATATTAGGTACTAAAAGTATCGATACTACTCAGGTGCTCGATGCTTTTGCGTAGACTAGTATATAGTGATCTGTGCTTTTGCGGATCCCTATTAATAGCAATAAAGAAGTTTGTTCATGGAGTATAGAGATAAGGAGGACAATCTACCATAGGAGAATAGTTGAAAATATGTCCATCTGTAAGTAGTAAATAACAGTTCAAAAACTCTCAACAACAGCCTCTCGAGTAGCTACAGGGTATGATAAATCGCCATAAAATACATTGAGAGTGATTTTGAAAATAAAAATTTTGAAAGCAATAAAATAGTTACTGTAAAAAGAATTATGGTGAAAGTCTGTGCAATAAAAAAATTATAAAAGGTTCTTTAAAATTTAGCGCTTTTTTTTGCGCCCGAAGCAAAATATGGGCAACCCTCCGGAAAGCGGGGGAGGGAGGTGGGGAATGTTCATAGCATACCACGCAGCCGGCTGCGTGGTTATTTGGAGACTTTCACCCACTAAACCCCACCTTTATGGATTGGCTTACCGATCTGACAAGAGATCTCTAAGCCGTATACGGACGCGACTCTCCTTGGCAGAAAGGAGGGCGCAGTTTAGCGCTTTCCTACGGACACTTTTTTATACAGAGTCTGTACTCCTTACCTCTACACTCCATCTGTTTGTTGTTAGTAGCAGTCACAGAGTACTTCTTTATATAGGGAAGTAGCAGTAGAGTGTAGAATCCACTAGTTAGTCTGTGAGTAGAGTGTGAAACGTAAAACTCCAGGAGTTTTGGCGGGAACTTGGCCGTCGACGGATTGTCGCTTGAAAATGGTTTGAAGTGGATTTTAATTCGTAAAAGTGATGCTATTTTATGAATTAAGTGCCTGCGCTTGAACTATTAGAGAAAACGGCGAAACAAGTGCTTTGATGTTGATATAAGCCTCAAGTTATTTTGAACGCTCGGGTGCCTTAAAAACTTGAGTGGCTGTCGACATCAACTGACTGCTAGGTTGAGCTGTCGTCAAAATCCCCAAAAACTTCGCAATGTGACGCATCAGCATATTGTGAAAAAAATATATATAAAAAAAGAAGATACGAAAGTATGATAGGCTCAGAAGGGCTAGAACGCAGAGCCGTAAAGCCAGTTAAATAAAAAAATGTAGAACTCCAGGAGCGTAGACAGAGAATGCTATGGATTCTCTGTCTACGTCCAGGAGTTTTGGCAGGAACTTGGCCGTCGGCGGATTGTCGCTCCTGTTTTGTCACTTGAATTATGGTTTGAAGTGGATTTTGTATGTATTAGTAAAAGTGATGCGAGTTTGTGAATTAAGTATCTGCGCGTGTGAACCGAATAAAAATCCGTAAGATGTGATAAGCTCAGAAGGGCTAGAACGCAGAGCCGTAAAGCCAGTTTGATTATTTATTTATCTATGAGTTTAATATTCTCTATCTACGTTTTTAATAGTACAGTACACTAAACACTTGTACATTTTATTTAAACCTATTGAATAAACTAGCTTTTTGTATTTTGGTGGCGGCTTCTAACTTTCAAATGAGTCCGAAAGTAGCAGTGGTCACCGGAGCAAATAAAGGCATTGGTTTTGCAATAGTCCGCGGACTTTGCAAGCGTGTGGATGTAGTTTATTTAACGTCGCGTGATGAAGAGCGTGGTAAAAAAGCGGTGGACGAGCTCAACAAAGAAGGTTTAAACCCAAAGTATCATCAGCTAGACATAACCGTAAAGAAGAGTGTGGAAGTTTTTCGTGACTACATCAAAGAGAAATACGGTGGAATTGATATTTTAGTAAATAATGCCGCAATTGCATTTAAAAATAACTCGACCGAACCAGTCGCTGTGCAAGCAGCAGAAACCTTACGAGTTAATTACTTTTCCGTACTTACAACCTGCGAAATACTTTTTCCGATACTACGAAATAGCGCTAGAGTTGTTAATATTTCGAGTTCTTCCGGTCATTTGAGTCAAATACCTAGTGAGACTTTAAGAAATCGTTTTAAAGATCCCAACCTAACTATTCCTGAGCTTTCGGATCTTATGAATAAGTATATTGAGGATGCCAAGAAAGGTACTCAGGCTGCTGAGTGGGGAAACTCTTCATATGTAGTATCAAAAGTTGGCTTAACAGCCTTAACCTTGATTCAGCAGAGATTGCTAAATGATAGAGGTAATTTGTATTTTAAATATTTTATGTTTTCTTCTTGAAACATTAAAACATGTTTGTATTATAATTTAAATTTATCATTTTTCTTAGGGTTGGTATCAAAAGTATATTATTATATTATTGTATATTATTGATATTTTTTTAGAAGTAAGCAACACAAGTAGTGATGAAATAACTGTTTTGTGGCAAAATATAAGAATTTCACTACTCCATTTGTCTTGTGGGTGTTATACCGTAGAGTACCAGAGACCTTTATTACTGGAAATGAGGTATTCCATCTCAGTACTCAGAGCTGACAATGCATCTTTATTTTGATTCTTAATTTAAGATAGTTGAAATTGCATGCTTTAATTCCTCCCTCCTTTCCACCATCGGTTGACCAGGCGGTCGACGGGCCTTCACCCCTTTGTTGTCTATATTCCACGTATTAGAAACAAACAGTTTACTTTGATTTTTTAATGCGTACAGCTAAGGAGTGCTATAATTTGCCGGCATCTATCTTTCCATTTGAATACAATCTGGGCGTCTTCAAGGCAAGAGTGAATAGGCATTTGTTATGCTAAGACAGTGCCATTCACAATCTAATATTGTGGGATTGTGGTCAAGCGGTGGCTTATGAAAGTAAAAAAAAAGATAAATGTCTTGTTTTGTCATATTCACTAAATGTTTAACCTTTAATTGTACCACATCCACCTTAACAAAAAACAACTTTGTACAGGGGCCTCAGTCGTCACCTGGGCACTTGTTATAAACATTTTATATTTCTCACAACCTTTCCTTTATGTTTAAAGTGTTCCATAAGTAGAAACAATAACCATAACATTTAAATGTTTATTTTATTTTATACAGCTCTTTGGATCTTGATAAAGTGTACTTACTGACAATAAATTTTATTTTATGAATGAAATATCATAAATTTTTATTTTAATTTTATGTTCTTACAATCAATACAACATATTCTTTCTAAATGAAACGAAATTATGCATGTAATAATTATAATAATTCTAATTTTTCACTTGCAAACATTTGCTAAAAATTCGACAATAGACAGTTTGCGCGCGCTTTGTAATCTCATTTTCAAAACCTTTTTATGTATATATTTTATAGCATCTTCCTTTATTTTTCTTATACAATCATATAGATATAACATTTAGCAATTCCTAGTAAAAGTATTTACTATGGTATTCCAATAAGAAATATACTATTATTATCTTATTAGAAATCTTGACCGTTATGAATTGTTCGCGTAGAGGTTTTTTGTTTCTACTTTTTTATCAATTGAAACATAAAAAAGTTACTGTTGTTGTAACTTAAATCATTCAAAAACATTACGTAGTAAAGATAAATAACATTACTTACAGTTTTTCTACCGACTTCAAAAAGGAGCCGGTACTCAATTCGACTGTATGTTTTTTTTTTTCGTTTTTTTTTTTTTTTTATGTGTGTTACCTCAGAACTTTTTTCTGGGTGAACCGATTTCGATGATTCTTTTTTTTATTTGAAAGCTGGTACTTCTCGTGTGGTCCCATATAAATTTGATTCAAGTTTGACCAGCAGTTTTTCAGTTATCCTTAATAATGCATATATAATTGACTTCGATTGCATTGACGGTATTCTCATCTGCCGATTTTTTTTTTCTGGGTGAACCGATTTCGATGATTCTTTTTTTATTTGAAAGCTGGTACTTCTCGTGTGGTCCCGTATAAATTTGATCCAAGTTTTACCAGTACTTTTTGAGTTATCCTTAATAATGCATATATAATTGACTTCGATTGCATTGACGATGTTCTCATCTGCCGATTTTTTTATTTTATACTTATATTTATTACTTGTCGAACGGTAAACGGAAAAACGGTAAAGGGTGGTTGAGAAGAGCATCGTATTTCGATTCATAGTATTTCGAGGTGGTCCCATTTTTATAATTTGGTGATGTCCGAATTAAGATCTTCGGCGAAATAAAACGGAACTATAACACTCGAAAGGGTACACACTAAAAAGCTAAAAACAAAATTATTTCTATGATACAACTTTTGATCTGACAATGAAGTTATTAGGCACCGGAACTCCGGAATAAAACATAGCATCCTAGCCATTGATAATGATTGATGATTTTAACGGTATATCTTTCATTCTAATTGCGCTACTTGAGGTGTACGAGTATTATGCGTGGTCTTCATTGTCGGAAGACAGATTTCGTAACCTCGTCATTTCTTTCAACGATTTGTCGTCGTGTGGTTTATTTAATAATTTGTTGGCGTCCAAATCTGATAAAGCTATGCCTTCCAAACTTTTAACACGACTTAGTGCCACATATATTTGCCCTTTTGCGAAGTTTTTCTTTCCAAGGTCAATCACAGCTCTTTCGAGGGTCGTACCCTGTAGTTTGTGAACTGTAACTGCCCAGCTTAATATTAGAGGCAGCATACGGCGCTCCACATCTCCGTAACCCCTTACTGCCTGTAATGTAGTACTTGATGGAGGTATGGGTACGCAACCATTACTATCTTTTAGCCTGCGACCGATAGTTTCGTCATCAAATTTAACGTACACGGCTTCTGGTAGCTCTCCATCCTCCAGTTGATCTCTCCTCAAGGCCGGCCATTTGATTTTTTTTATTATACCCATAGCTCCATTTACTAGCCCTTCAGAGACGGAGATATTGCGTCTCAACATCACTCGAGATTCGACGCTAATTCTTATCGATGGCAGAAGACCACCACAGTTATTGACGTCTTTGGGAATCACGTTCTCTGGTGGTTTTCTACCATATGTCGCTACTTCACGCGACTCATCCACTGCGTTGATTAAATAAGTTCGGTGCAGCTTTGCATTTTCCTTGGTTATTTTGTCGTTGTAATCGTCGACTTGCCTGACCGTGGGAAAGATACGAACGGCGACTCCATCCGCAAATTCACCATTTATAGGCACGTGGCGCCGCTCGCATAGTAATTCCAGCTGAGCCGTCGTCAGTTCACCTACCCGTAAGCTGTTCAATAAATCGATGAATTCGCTATCATTGCGCTGTCGCATGTTTATGGTCAGTTCACAAAAAGAAAACTGATGCCACAAATTGACCTCCACCGAAAACCACGATGGCTGCACAAAACACCAATTCCCTTTCACCGGAGGAAGCTGAAATATGTCACCAAATACTAAAATGTTGACTCCACCGAATAACTTCTCGTTGTTTTTGTATTCTTGGAGTCTTAGGTGAATTATTCTTAAGTTCTCATAGGAGACCATAGAAATTTCGTCTATGACTAGCCAATTTATATAGCGCCATTTACGCCTTTCAGTCTCGAGTCTTTGACCTGTAATTTTTTTTGTATGTCATAGAATTTTTTTTTTCAATCGGAAGCAAGAAAATACTATGTAGCGTTTTGCCAAAAATTTGACGAGCGGCAACCCCGGTTAACGACCCAACTTCCACAAATTTAGGCTTCAGCAGTATATCTACTGTTGGTGCGTAACAACGCTTAATGTGCTCCACGATTAATTTCAGCAGAAATGATTTACCACTGCCTGCACCGCCCGTGATAAAAAGTAACAGCTGGCTTTCTTGTCCATGCAAATCGTTTTCGATTGCCGTTGAAACTTTCTGAAATAATTCCTTCTGTTGGATATTTAATCCTCGAATGCTTCCTAGGAACAATTCATCTGATATGACGGCTCGTTCTTCCATGTCTTCACAAAAGTTATCATCGTCATGTAAAATTTTTTCACCAACACATAACATGGAAGCATTGCCTATATCGGTTTCACGCGCAGCATTAAGCGCGGTAGCTTGCGCAACAGCTTGTTGAATAATTAATTCGGCATGACCAATTTGTTCTGAACTGATGTCACCCTGCAACGGGCGAAGATCCCCTTTTCGTCTTATAAAACAGTCTTCAGCGGTTTCATTTTCGAAAAGTAATTCGCCTTCATTACGAAATGGTATATGGCATACTAATAAACTGTAATAATATGCTTCTTTGTCACTATTAATTGTATAATAGCGGGTACGTAACACTGCCGGTCTATTTCTTACACGCAATCTCGTATTGTCCTGCAATCTGATATACCTCTCTGGCGTAATATCTTCGTCTCTCAGTTCCGCATCCCCATTGTCCTCTGACCATGTCGTGTTAGAGACGGTTTCAAAACGGACGGCAAATTCCGCAAGGCTTAAATTCTCCAGCTCGTTTGGGCGTAATACATAACGATCAAAAATATTATTGTAAATACTGGTTTCATCACTATCGAATCTCAGGAGTCTGTAACGTTCCTCCGGCCTGCAACTATTCACAAAAACAGTCTTTCGCGACGACATTTTCAATGGCAAATGGCATAATCTGTAAGCGCATTCGGGCGCACTCACCAAGCGTTTATTTAAAATAGTCATTGATATTGAAAACAATTGTTTCCAAACATCACCACCTTGTCTCTTAGCATTCGAAATAGCTTCTCGAATTACATCACCTGTGTCATGTGGTTCGCATTTACTGGCATATTTTGCGACGTAGTAGGCCACAGTGGTGACATTACCACACGGTTGCACGTCAATATTTCCCTTCCATAGATTTAAAAGAACTGCATTGTAATTGTTTACCATGGTTTCATTTGAGGTTCGTTTCAATATACAAAATCGTCCATTGTTAGCAAGTGCTTCATCTGGTCCAAGACAAACGGTGTTAACACTTGCTGGCTTTGGAAAATCAAATCGACAACCATCAGTTTGGCGATTTTTTTTGCATGTCGCAGTGTGTTTATGAATCTGTAAATCCTCAACTAATTTGCGCAACACAAGGTCATTAGGAGTTAATGAACATGAAACCACCCTTTCAATTACAGCAACTCCTTCTGGAGTGGTGAAATTCGGAACATTACTACACCAGACTAACATATGCAGATGTGGGCTACCGCGGTTTTGAAACTCCACTCGGTACCAAAAATCTTCAATAAGACCACCCAAGCAATCTTTATTTCTCTTTAAGAATCGCATGAGAGCGTTAACACGTACTGTGAACTGTCGTGCTAACACTACCGGATGTTTTTGCACTAGGTTCAAGCGCTCCGGGAATGACAGGCGATCGACGTCATCGATATCACGTCCATCAGCGATAAGCAAGGCTTTTATCATGTCTGGCCAATTTAAATCATTGCAGGAAAATGTTAAAAACCATGTGGGAGGCCCTAAAGTTCTAACCATGGCAATCAATTCAGAGCAACATTTCTGCCAATATGATGCCGATCCTCGAATATTTCTCAGTGAGATGCATATTATCTACAAGTCCCTGTGGTGTTTGCTCTCCATGACCTTGTCGCATCCTACATGACACAGATACGCTTGATTTTGCACGAAAATATTCAACAATGGATAGAGCATAAAATAAATAATCATTTCTGTTGAACCTCTTGTCAATACTCATTACCCGGTTTTGAAAGTAATCAAGGGGGGTACACGCATTTTCTCTTTCCTCGCCAAAGCCATTCCTGCCATTTGGAAAAAGAAAATACCAACATAATTCCTCCATACGGCGTTCACGTTCCAAATTCAAGGGAGGTGCAGTTTTCCTTGTGATTGCGGCCAATCTCATTGTATCATCGGTTGAAGAGCTATTCATATTAACAACATTTTCTAAATTAGGTACGTTATCGTCTATATTTTGGAGCATACCTGTTGATTCGATATAAATGGTGCTTAAGGAGTTATGGACTGGTAATGGCAACTGAAAATGGGTTGATTTTACCGGAACTGTTTTTTGGATAGACTGAATGACTTGTGTTGTTGTTTGGAGGGTATTACTTGTTTGTATTATTGGTTGGAGGGAATAGTTTGGTGTAAATGTTGGACTCTCTAACCTTGACGAATGTTCCAATATTGGCGTAATCGTTTGTATTTGGGAGTCTCGAGCTGTTTGTATTATCGGTTGGAGGGAATCGTTTGGTGTAAATGTTGGACTCTCTAACCTTGACGATTGTTCCAATATTGGCGTAATTGTTTGTCTTTGGGAGTCTCGAGCTATAACTAATGATGTTAACGAGAATACATTAAGATTATCTCGAAAGTTTCCTTCTGGCACTTTTTTTTGGCGACACAAATAAATTGCGACGTAAAATAGCATGCAAATCATCCAGTTCACTAAATCGCATGCAACAAGCGGTACCATTTATGGGAGCGGAAGCCCCCTTGGGACCCTGTCACTAAAGTTCTGCAATGCACTGCTATCGATATGGCGTTTGCTGTAAGTATCCCATTGGAGTGTCCTCTGAAAAAACTTAATAATGCATTTTTTAAATTAGGAAATCCATCGGAAGTATTATCATTGTCTATGTGGCCATTATGATTGGTTTCCTCAAGTACTGTGATCACTAAATTTTGTCTATTATATATAAGTCTTGGACTAAGATCTGAAACAGCAAGGTACTCAGGATTTACTTCGCCGGGCGCAGGATTATCTCTAGCAGCGATGCAGTCATTATAGTATTTATCGCCAATAATTACAATGTAATCAATATCACTTTTGGCCCACTTGTTTGGATCTAATACACTAAATGCTGCACAAGCAACAGCCGCTATCCCAGTACATTGCTTACCCCGAGATAAATTAAATCGTAAATCACCTTGATTAAATGATCCGCGTAATATTGCCTTGTTGTCATTTAAAGTGATATAATGTTGTGATAAAGTTTCAGAAGCAACGCCATCCTGTTCAGGAATAGAATTTTCAGCTATTTATAATATATGAGGAATATTTAAAGTAGTTTCAAAATGTACCTGAACATCGCTGTAAAGATGGTTATTGGAAATTAACCAAGTTAATGCTCGATTTAGTCTTTGCATATCCACGACGAATTCTTTAGAACATGAAAGGTTCTCGAGACTTTCCACTACCAAAACTAAACCAGCTTGATTTGGTGTCAGTGGTAACTGTTCAGCAATTTCCACAACATCCTTTGCAAATAGAATGACCTGCCCTTTACACCAATTTTGACTGAACCGGTTATTAAGTTTTACAATCTTTAAAAACGGTACGATGCGGCTTAAAAATCGTTCTTCAACGCTCGTCAAATTGACTAATTCAGGCGGTACTTCTGCGGGCATCATTTTATTCCAATATGCAGTTGTTGGAATTTTTCTTTTCCTAATATTATTGCTACATCGAGAGCACGTAGTTATTGTACCTAAAGCAACCAGTTCTTCAGGTAATAGTATACTATACATATTTGCTCGTAAATTGGAACGCTGTTGAGGATAAAGGCTTCTTTTACAAACGGCGCATGGTACATCAGCAAAAATATTAATAGCCGCTTCAAAAGATTGTTCATTTGTGATGTCCCTACAAGCTTGATTAGCTTGTTGCATTCTACTAAGTCGATCTGAACGAGTTTCAGGTGTTTCGTTTGATAAGCGATCGCGAATCAATCCGAGTCGGTGGGCACGTTGCTCTTCCGTCTCATTCGATAGACGATCGTGGATCACACCGAGGCGGTGAGCACGTTGCTTTCTGTCTCGTTCGATAGACGATCGTGGATGACGCCGAGGCAGTGGGCACGTTGCGCTTCCGTCTCATTCGATAGACGATCGTGGATCACGCCGAGGCGGTGGGCACGTTGTTCTTCCGTCTCATTCGATAGGCGATCGTGGATCACACCGAGGCGGTGAGCACGTTGCTCTTCCATCTCATTCGATAGACGATCGTGGATCACACCGAGGCGGTGAGCACGTTGCTCTTCCGTCTCGTTCGATAGACGATCGTGGATCATGCTAAGGCGGTGAGCACGTTGCTCTTGCGTCTCATTCGATAGACGATCGTGGATCATGTCAAGGCGGTGGGCACGTTGCTCTTGCGTCTCGTTCGATAGACGATCGTGGATCATGCTAAGGCGGTGAGCACGTTGCTCTTGCGTCTCATTTGATAGACGATCGTGGATCATGCCGAGGCGGTGGGCACGTTGCTCTTGCGTCTCATTCAATAGACGATTGTGGATCACGCCGAGGCGGTGGGCACGTTGTTCTTCCGTCTCATTCGATAGGCGATCGTGGATCAGGCCGAGACGGAGAGTACGTTTTTCGATATTTTCCCTGTACAAAACTTTTTTCATGTAAGCCCGCATTATTGAAAGCCTATTTTTGCGCTCTTCACAAGTCTCTTTTGAAATGTCAATTGAGGTAGATTTCCTCTTTTGAGATAGACGTTTCTCCCTTTCTTCGTTTGTCTCATTTAAACGGTGCTGTCTCATATGAGCGTGCGTTTGCTAGGTCTACCCATTTTCAAACAAATAAAATCAGTTATCGAACTTCAGAATCACTAAAAATAGAAAAATAAACAAAAATTTTAACAAAATAGAATACCGACTTCAAAACAAAATATTTTAAAACAATAAATGCACTAAAAATTTTAAAAATAATTGCGTATTCTTGTATCTACAACTTACAATCAACTTATTTTTTTTACTCAATGTACGATCTATGCGTTTACCACGCAAGAAGGTAGGTACCGACTTAAACTTCACATCTAACTCAACACATATCTATGATTCACAAACAATTATCAAAATATTTTTTAGAGTTCAACTGAGCAAAAATTTTCAAATATATGTGTAGACTGCTTAAAAGACAATCAAATTATTAGGATAATATAATCTACAATTATTGTCATTTTTGGAGTCGGTGTCAGCCAAGGAAATACGACAATGTACCTAGCAATAATAATACGAGAATTCCTGGAAATACGCTTTAATACGAAAATATGGTGTGACAATACCTATGTAACAACATTAATACAATAAACAAAATACCAATAACCTAATTAATCCTATTTACAAATTAACTTAAATACAATGTGATGTGACAATACCTAAGTAACAACCTTAATACAACGAAATACCAAAAATAATTAACCTATTTCCAAATTAATTTTAATACAATAATATTCTGTGACAATACCTATCTAACAACCCTAATATAACAAAATAGGTACCAATGACATTACCTATCTAACAACCTTAATGCAACAAAAAACCAATACGTAATTAAACCTAATCATAAATGAACATTAATACGACAATATGCTGTGATAGTACCTAATAACCTTATTACAAAAAACAAAATACCAATACCTAATTAAACCTATTTATAAATGAACATTAATATGACAAAATGCTGTGACAATACTTATCTGTTAACCTTAATACAATAAAATACCAATATATAATTAACCTATTTCCAAATTAACTTCAATACGACAATATGCTGTGACAATACCTTTCTAACAACCTTAATGCAACAAAATAACAATACTTAATTAAACCTACTTATAGACGAATATTAATACGACAATATGCTGTGACAATATCTAGCAACCTTTATACGAAAATGTAGCTTTAATAATAAACATAAGGAATTACAGTAAGAAAGACGGTGTAGAATGAAAAAGAATCGGAATCGGTTTATAATCAAGTAACTCGTATATGTTCTTTTTCTTGACTGGCGAATGGCCGGCGTACGCGTTTGGCTCGCTCACTTCTGTAGACTTCCCACCCTCCTTCCCCGCGCCCGCGTTGATAAGCCCGCGCCGAGTGCTGCGTCTATGTGTGTAAATTGTGTATGCCAATTGTTATCTATGTTATGATTATAGTAAGACATCTCACGTTTACGTAGTTAGAAATATACCTTGGCTGACACCGACTCCAAAAATGACAATAATTGTAGATTATATTATCCTAATAATTTGATTGTCTTTTAAGCAGTCTACACATATATTTGAAAATTTTTGCTTAGTTGAACTCTAAAAAATATTTTGATAATTGTTTGTGAATCATAGATATGTGTTGAGTTAGATGTGAAGTTTAAGTCGGTACCTACCTTCTTGCGTGGTAAACGCATAGATCGTACATTGAGTAGAAAAAATAAGTTGATTGTAAATTGTAGATACAAGAATACGCAATTATTTTTAAAATTTTTAGTGCATTTATTGTTTTAAAATATTTTGTTTTGAAGTCGGTATTCTATTTTGTTAAAATTTTTGTTTATTTGAAAGAAAATCCAACTAAAATCACAATCACAAAACGTCAACGATTACGCAACTAATTAACCGCACAGCGCAAAATCGAATGGCTGTTTTATTTGATTTTGTCTATGTAACCGAGTGAATATAATTCTTCAGAATACTCTTTCGTTTGTTCAGAATCAAATGAAATAGTGTACAATCGAAAATATACTGTATTTTTATATCAATTAATGACGAAAATAGCAGACCGTAATGCGGACATGCATACATGTCCTCTGTACTCAGCGGTCACAAAACGTGGATAGTCTCACATGTCCTCGGTACATGAGGGGTTAAGGGCCACAATATCCATTTACCATCAGGTGGATTGTGTGCTCGTTTGTCACACTTATTCTAAAAAAAGAGGTAAGAGAAGGGATCGGCATCAGCATTTGCCAAATAACAATTTAAAATTAATAAAATGCTGTTGGTGACTTGCCTGCCAAGCTTGGTACCTATGGAATATATCTCTCATATGAGTCTCCTTCCCCAGACTATGTTCAGCTGTGGACTTTAATAGGCTGTATTGAAAAAATGGATGTTACCTCATCTGTCACTCTTAACTCTAAAGATTACAAAAAATAAAGTGTAATTATATTTTGTGCTACTTGCAGACATTAAAGTGAATGCTGTACACCCTGGTTATGTCGATACAGACATGTCGTCCCACAAAGGCAAGATGACAATTGATGAAGGTGCAGCTGCGCCACTTTATGTCGCACTGGATGCCCCTGATTCTGTACGAGGTCAATATGTGTGGTATGACAAGAGGATTGTCAATTGGGATGGGCAGAGGCCAAAAGAAGAGTATTAGTGTATAATTGTAATTGACTCATTGTTATTGTACTATATGCTTCACACACATGTATTGTATATGACATAGTACTCATTGTTCATCTTAGATAAAATATGTATGTTAATAATAAATACTTCAGTTGATAAATTCTAGCATTATCATTTAATCTTATCAAATACTTACTTTGAAATTGATATAATCAAATATTAGTGTACAATGTTCTAGAAATTTTCTTGTCATAGTTGCTCTGCTGGCTTCTTTGCTATACTTGCATATTATTTTGTATATTTTTTATAGGTTTTTGATGTAAATTTGTATTAAATGCAGGCTATAAAACCCATTTTCTGATGTGTCTAACACAAATGATAAATGCACAACTTGCAAATTCAAGGTCAAATACCTTGAATTTACAACATTATTTTTAATTATTATTTTACAGGGGTAAGGTTTGAAAGTAAGTTGCCAGAATTGGGTTTAGGAGGTGGGGGGGGGGGGTTTGAGTTGTAGAGGTCCCCCCCCACTCCTCCCCCTGACGAACATGTGAAGCGGGGCACCTACTTCTGAGTGGCTTATGAAAAAATAACCATAAATGGGATGGCGGGGTCTATTTTTCGCTCACTCGACCCCGCCAACCCCTTCTAACCTAATCTGTCTGAGTCAGGGTGCCTTAAGTCCGAGCTTGCTTCGCTTGCTCTTACACTTCACCAAAATATTAACTTTTATAAGAAATGCACATTTTACAAACTAGGTGAGTGAGGTGTCATTTTCTATGTAATTTTTTGAATCAAATGGGACATAATTGTTGGAAAAAATGAAAAAAAAATTTCAAAACAAAAATAGGATTACAGTACAGTATGTAATATCAACTATGAACATGTTTAGTTAATTTTAAATTTATTCTTCATTTCTCTGAAATTACAGAGATTATCGTCATCAATGTCTACAGGGACCATGCCTTTGTCCGAGTTCAAGTTGGAGCAAGAAAGCCCCTGCATATTTTGTATACAGACGAGCAGGGTATTCCACTTTTTATGCATGAGCACTTCAGAGTGGAACATCCACTTTTACATGGGCAAAATATAAGGGCAATTATTTCATCCAGAGCTGGTGGTAGGGTAGTGGGAAAGATCATTCACCATTTTCACTACTCCAACCCCATTCTTCAGAATTCAGTTTATTGTCCAGCATTTTGGACTTTATGGTATGTTCTGAAAGAGTGTTGCATCGCACTTGCCGAAATAAAATAATAATAAAGTAGCCAAGTTCGCTATAGCATGCTTCAAAGATTTGTTAATTAATGTGTAATGGTGACTATCAAGAGTGACGTTGTTGAGTTTGGCGCCATTCAGTTGGAGGAACAAAGATTCACCTGCTCTCCCGTACTTCTTCAGCTGTAGCAGTGGTGTTATTGCAGACTGCAGCACACTTGTAGGGGCGGGATTTTTCGCGAGGAGTTTAAGTTTTACCTCTGCCGTGAACAGCGCTGGTTGTATCACAACCTGGAAATGCATGTGTTGTGAGTACGAGGGCGGCACTGAAAATTTCGGGAATCAAGGAAGTGACACAACATTACTATTTAAAAATGTATTTATTGCTTTTCGAAGTATTCTCCGCGAAATTTGACACATTTTGCCATACGATGGAACCAATCATTGAAGCAACCATTCCATTCGGAAGTTGGGGTCTCCAAAAAGGCCGTTTTGTAGGTGTCCACAGCTTCTTCAGGTGATGAAAATCTGTCCACGCAATTTATTCTTTATTTTAAGGAAAGTATAGAAATCATTAGGGCCTTAGGTCGGGGCTGTACGGCGGATGGTCTAATAATTCTATGTTTTCTTGCTCTAAAAACCCTTTTGTTCTGTGTGCGGTGTGAGAACTCGCATTGTCGTGGTGGAGGATGATGCGGCGGTTGCAGTTCTCTTTACGGAGTTCAGAAACGACCTGTGGCAAACAAATGCTAGCATACCATTCTCCATTAACCGTTATTTGTCCGTCAAGAGGAATAGTCGTAACATGGCCGGTTTTGGAGACAAACGTGGCCACCATTTTTTTTGCAACACTCCGTGAACGAACAATTTTTGTTGGCTTTAACTCATTTTCGAACACTCAAACTCGTGACTTGGTTTTTTGTTTAGGGTTCGTACGCGTATATCCAGGATTCGTCACCTGATACGATGTTGTATACAGCATTTGAGGATCCTGCGTGGAATCTTTCGAGAGTTCTGACGCACCAAGTAACGCGAACCGCTTTTTGCTCTTCACAGAGCGAATGCGATATCCATCGGGAAAACAACTTTTTTACACCTAATTGTTCATGCAAGATTATTTGTATTTGACTCATGCCAATGTCTAAAGTTGCCTGAATTTCGCGGTATGTCACATGTCGATCTTCCTCAATCAGCTTACGCACAGCATCAAAGTTTTCTTGGGTGACTGCAGTTTTTGGACGAACTTGACGGGGATCATCACTGAGCTTGACACGTCCACGTTGAAATTCAGCAAACCAGCGATAAATTGTGGTTTTGGATGGGGCTTCATCACCAAATGCAGAAATCATCCGGTAAACACACGTTTTTGTGTTAAACCACTTCGAAAGTCATAATAAATCATCGCTCTTGAATTTTCTCGAGTCAATTCCATTTTCTCAACGACTAAACAAGTTTGACAAAACCTTGTGACAAGACCGAGAATCTTTTTTTAAATAAATAAATGGTATTCGATTTTCAAAACCAAAGACTTTTCAATTAAAAAGATTTTAATATGACAGGACCAAGTGGAAATATTCCATTCCCGATACTTTTAGTGCAGCCTATGTATGTAATCTTTTAGATTCATGTGCTGCTATTGAAGGTCGGTTGAATGAAATATTTTTCTTAGTTTAGTTTAGGACGGGCTGTTTTTCGCAACTACACGTCTAAGCGTATTTTGCGTGTGGGCAGGATTAATGTGATTATTCGAGCCATGAAATCTCCCTGAAGAAGTTCAACAGTCCTTTGATATTGCAAGTAACTTCTGGTAGTGATCCTGGCATGCCGAGATGTTTAGCCCTGTACGTAGCGACCTCTGGACATTTCAGCAACACATGGGTCGCAGTTTCTTCCTCCCCATTCATCTGTAACACCTATGATAAACAGTGGCGAAGCTTCCATTAAAGCCGAAAAGCCGGGCTTGCCTTATTAAACCTGAATCAAATCAATAATATCAACTAATAAAATAACCCGCGCACTCCACTGTTCGACACATGTCGACCGATGACCTCGTATTGCCTTAGCGATACTGCTGCTGTCATAAAAAATGAGTTTTAATAGAGCTAATAATTGTCTCCCTCGCTCGCGTGGGCTTTTTACATTTTTTTTTTACTTTCGAGAAGACGATCGCTCTCTTTCTAACCTAGGGCATAATATTCTATAATGAAATATAACTACGATTGTATATATAGCAATTAGTATAGAGATCTAAAGCCAGGCTTTTGGGAATGAAGAAAAGGGGGCGCGCGGGCAATACGTTTGCAAGTTCATTTCACGTTTCAATGTTTATTTACTCTGTGTGCTTATCTTAAGCGATTTAATATTACAAGTTCAAAATTTATGCTTTCTTAAAGATTTTAATGAAAATGGAGGATAATAGTGTTCCTTGTGAAGAATGAATTGAAGTGTGTTAAAGTGATAATCGGAGAGGAAATCTTTAAACTTTGTTGAGATAATATATAAGCTTAAGAGTGTATTTCAGACTTATCAATTATCGCAATTAAAAACAGTTATTGGTACAATTAAAACGTTCACCAACATTTTACGTGGACGTAATTAAATCTTTCCATAAGAAAGCGAGACGATTCCACTTATCTTATCTCTTATCCATTAGAATGTAAATAATATATTTTTTTAATTTGTACTTAGTTTGTTTGTACTTTGTTCGTGTTTTACTTTTGTTCATGTATTGGATGTAAATATTTTTTTTTTCTTTCGCTTAAACAAACCCAAACGGCTTTCTTCAAAGCCACCGAAGCTATGCAATTGCTGATATGTAATACAATCTATCTAGCAGTGGTATGCCTTATGTGTGCTTTGTTAAACACATCCTTGACAGCACTGAATATGAAACTGAGGCGTGGAGACAGATCAAGATTGGTGTATTTTTATAAAACTGCTAAAAACAACAATCTATATTTTATCAATCTATATCTTGGGCTTGCCCTAGCTTGGAGCTCTAGCTTCACCACTGATGGTAAATGAATGTTTGTTAAAGGAGCCATGTCCTGAGATTTTTGTTACTATACTGCTCTGTAGCTTGTTCAGTGTCATTAGAACCTACCTTATTTACTAGATTTTTCCAAAGATGAGCGTGCAGACTAGTGAAGTTTTTATGTACCAGTGTACAAACATTACCGAAGGGGATTGGTATTAATGGTTCCGGCCCTATAGTAGCCAGAGCCGATCCTCATCTTGCCAGTTTGTCTGCTGCATTGTTGCCTCTGGATCCACTGTGTCCCTTTATCCATTGCAGATGGCATTCATATGTTAGTCCCGAGTTCACCGTGTTGCAAGTCAGAGCTTGTAGTACCGCCATACTTTCGGTCAGTATTATGAAGGAGAAGTCTTTTACCTTCCTGCTATGGCCACTTGGATGACACCCATACATCCCACCTGAAAGACTGTGTTATGGGTTACCTGTGGTGTACATATGTAGATATTGAAGTCTTCAGAGAAAGTTTCAGATCCTACACTTTCATTTGTTTTAGAACCATCCGTGAAAACTCTAAGCTCTCTTGGGCATTATCCCTCTGGCTTTACGGTTCCATTTACTTGTATCTTATACTTCTTATCGAATACAAATTGTTTTGGGATATTATCGACTTCTTGAAGATAGGAATTTTTTGAGTAAATTCTATCAATTATAACTGAATGAAGACTACTTTATAAAGATTAGTGGTCTTGAGTTTAATGGCAGCTAAAGTAGCTTCTTGTTGTGGGTAGATGAAGCGGAGTTAGCTCCAGTACAGCCTCTAAAGCTGCTGTTTG